TTATATCACAAATTATAGACAGATAAAATCGGCAAGAACACGGATTTCGGAAATGTAGAGCGGATAATAATTCCAAAGTGAACAGCACAAGAAAGAAACATGCGTGAGTGAACAAATAAATAATCTGTATTAAAAATTGCTGTGCAAAGGTGTCCATTTACCAGACTGGCCATCTTCTTGTCCCTTGGTAACTACGATGAATACTAGAATGAAAGAGGCAGTTCTAAAATATCCACGCAGGACAACGGACAAAATAAGAATCTGATTTAAAGGGCCAAATTTAAACAAAAAATGTTAAAAGTGTGGTATATCAGAATCCAACACTGAATACGTCACCGAATATTCCAAATATATTAACAGGCGTGTAAACCCCATCTCATACCGCGTCGTACAAGTATCTGTCTCACCCCTTGAGATAGGTTCATGAAGACAAATACTTGCAGAGGGTTGAGTAGTTATAGTACAACTATTATGAATATGAAAATCGTCAAGTAACGTGATAACCACGGCCGATATAAAGTATGTATGTATATAAACAGCATGTATCAGAACAATGTTCTGACACTAACTGGTGTTATAAAGTTTTTTGGTTTTGGGAAGAGTATCTAACAGTCTTTTCCAACGCAAAATATTCGTACACTAAGATCCTAAAGATGTGTTCATATCGGAGAGATCCCTTGTATTTAATTGAGCTAGAAATCAAGAGAATAAGGAATAAATTAGGGTACCAGGAGCATCCACAAAAGAAACCTGCAACATCCTACCCCAGCAGTGGGAATCAAAATGCGAGTATTGTAATAGCTGATAATCCATGAACAGAAAAAGACAGTGGCAACAATAGTTGCTGTACGCAAGATTATCATAAACATATCTGCCTCGAAAAGTGACATAAGTCATGTATACATAAGATACTTCCACAACATATCAATTCAACTGTCATAAGCCTCAAACATCCAGAGAATGAAAGGGATATTCAGGCTATTTTATTATAAGAACTTACGAGTGGAACTAAACAAAAATATAATAATATGTCAACCACACCCTATCTTCTATATTTAGTACTGACAAGGCCTTTGTCGAATACCAGGGCTAGCCAGGCCTGCTGGGATATGAGACACAGTAGTGGTCAAGGCATCAAATATACTATCGATTACTTGAAAAAAAACTGTTTTGGTGTGAACTAAATTATTACAAATTAGAATTTACGATTTTTACTGACACCAAATTATTAATTTTTACACCAAATTGTTTATTATGAATATTATTATCTATTTCACATGAATTACACTCAGAAGAACTGGCAAACCAGTAAGCCACAAAGACATAATGGTCAGGTCACTCTATGCAGTGCCTATCATCCTCATACACTAGATGGATTATGGAAAGCCAGTGAGGAGGAGTGGGGAGTTCTGAACATGACAGTCTTATGATGGAGCCTTCTGCAATGGAAACTACACTACAGAACTGTTATCAACATATACAGTTGTTAGATAAAGCATAACCAGATGTGATGATACAGACTGTAACAAGGCATTGAGGTTCCACGATAGTTTTAATATAATGTATTCAACCTCTGTCTATTATACAAAATGATAAAATCATTTAAAACTTAGAGAAAAACTAATCAATAATACTAACTTAAAACTGCACAAAATACTATATAATATTGCTAACACAACTCAGTAACTCTCACCTTTATTTAACATAATTACAAGTTCCCCAAAATATATGACCTTATTGATATTATAAATATGTAAATGTTGTAACCTGAAATGAACAGATGTGTAAAAGAAACTTAAAAAAGACAAATATTTATAGCTAAGTTTATTCTGCAAGATACCATTTACACAATAACAGTTCGAGATCTTACTAAAATTAATGTACCTTGGACTTTCATCTGTCTAATATCTAATTTTATGCCTCCATACTCTCATATTAGATGCCTGAGTGGTGTGCTTAATTACATAATGTTCAAAGTGAAAGATTCACAGAAGAATAGTGGAGCTAAGCTGGCTCTGTACATTTTCATAAGTTTCTTTCTAACTGTGACTAGAGTTGTGATTAAAAGTAAAAGTAGGATGTCTTACCTTATAACAACAAATCTAATTATATAAATGAAAGAAATGGACAATTACTATCATTTAAAATTGTGATGGGATATATACTTAACAAACTAACTGGTTTTTACAAGATTCTATTTGCACTAGTGTAAAATATATTTAGATAATAAAAAAATGAGGAATTTAACAAAAATTTTAAACAATAGAAAAATGCCTTGAAACTTGGGTAAGTAATGAAAGATATAGAAAGAAAAAGATAAAGTTATAAAAAAAAGAAGGTAAATTCCCAAACATCATTTTCCACATTTTAATAACATTTCTTTGTAATTCTTGTACCAATGATAAAATGTTTAATTTGAAAACGTCATTAACTTATAAGTATTGCTTTTATACACTGTAGGATCTGCATATAGACCTATCTGAGTACAGGGTTCACGAAAATGAGTTCTGCTATTTCTATCTACATGAACAACTAACCATACAACACTTCCATGCATGTTCAGAAGTAACTGAAAGTGTAGAGTTACCATGATTATTCAAATGCTATCTCCTTACTCTCTGTACTGTCTTCATACATTTTCAGAAATTAAGTCAGGATCTATCCCTATAGTGCTTGTCTACAAAATCTAAAGCAAGAATAATGCATATACAGAATAATAATTGCAGTTTGGCATTGTTTCAAAAAGTAAGGAAGCTTGTTCACTATAAACCTGAGAGACTAGCTCTGAAAGTTAAATGAATGTTTATCAAACTGAAGCACTAAAACTAGAAGACACTGTAAAAAGAATCTCTTACTCAGAACAATAAACAGAAGACTATATGAATGTTTATTATTTTACTTGTGTGTGTGTGTGTGTGTACCTAGATACAAACTAATCAAGTATCAAATTACAAAGCCACATAAAGCTTCCTACAAATGCTGCACATAATATAGAAGCAGATTTTTATTGACTCAAACTACATATTCTTTGCAAGTAGCCTCAGATTTCTGAGCTCAAAATTAAAATACATAATTTACATTAACTCTTTTTTTCCTCTTTCCTTCTATCCCTTGCATTTATCTAAAGAAAAAAATATATGGCTATTCTATAATAAAACCCAATCAAACCAAGTCAATTTCGTAATGTTTGTTTTCTTAGATAATCTTGAATATCTCAAAGGTAAATAATGGGGTATCTGTGCTCTGCCCAATGTTAGCCTTACAAGTTTTTTTGTGTTTTTTTAAGTTAAACTTTTTTGTTTAAAGTTAACTTGACCTTCTAATAATGCCTCTTACTTATCCATATTTAAGTGCTTTACTCTGGTGACTTGGGGAGGTTGTGATTCGAAGGGGGTCTCAGATTGGATTCCCATTGTCACCAAAGTTGCTTGTCATTTTTGATATGGCAAGACTTCTAAGCCTATCCTTCACTATTGCTAATTTTGAACTTTTTGACAAGTAAAATGAAGACAACTGGCTGGCAGCATTTGCTGCCAATTTTATTTTCTCTAATATCCATGCACTATCAATATTTTTGAGCCAAAAAGGGTTAAAGCCTACCATGATCATTCTATCACTGCATTATTTTTTCAATTCTTGAAATAGAATCCGTCATGTTTTCACCTTTCCTTTAATGAGATTTCATTTTATAGCTCTCATAGTTATCTAACGAACAAACATTTTTTAAACATTTTGGTCTTCTAAACTTTAAATTGGTATTACTGTTCAAATTTGCCTTTTCTAGATATATAAAGCACAAACATTTGTGTGTCTGTTCATTATCTAACCACTGCTAGGTTGCTGGCCCAATCTCAACCGAACTTTGTGGGAGGTTAGTTTGGAACAAGGGGCATGTTAATAGGGGTTCACAACCCCCCTCCACCTCTCATTATTGCTATTATGGGGCATTTATAATTTTATTTGACATAAGTTAACATTAACTACATTCACAGATGGTGCCACATCCTTACACCAAAAACAAAAAAAAAACTTTATTAAATTTTCACTAACACCACATACACACAGTGTATATGACATATTTTAGTGTGTGCTAGCACTCTCTATGGAGGAATGCAATAAAAAAAATGTGCACTACTATTGCAATAATACATAAACTCAGACAAATTATCTACTTCAACAGCCACCATAAGGCTGATATCAAGAGCTGTTTCTTGAGTTATATCCACTTCTTACTTTGACCCATGACCTTTCAACTTCAGCCTGCAAGACACTTTTGCAACCAATAACCATCAATTAATTAATAATGTGAAACTGTGTGTAAGGACATTAAGAGCTGGATGTTGAAAGCTGGTAACAGAAAGCATCCCTACCACCACTACCTCTTCCTACAAATTCAACCTGACCATAGCACAGTGTATACCATGTTTTAAGTATATACATAGTGAGTTCTTATAGCTTATACAAAACCTTGGGTGGGGTAATAATGAATATTATAATAATGTTACTTTATAAATAAACTGTGTAAAAGTTAGTATTTTTGTGTTATCTATCATAGCATCCACCCACAATTTTTTTTGTGTTCATAATCCCTACAAAGAACAGGTACCTCAGCTTCTTACAATATATTTTTCACTTTCTAGAAAACTAAACTAAAATTTGCACTTCTAAGAATGTTATTACATTTTTATGATGTTTAACTTATAAAAGTATTTATGGCCCATTAAAGTATATAGTGTATGTCTAATAGTTTGGATATGATAATCCAAAACTGTGTCTAACATACTGTAAGGTGGCAGCATTTATCCATTAGATTTTACTTCCTGATCACATATTTTCAGAAGTAACATAAAATTGCTATATTTTAAAGTTACTTTCATGTCTAGCCTAACAACTTACAAGATTTTACTATGAACATATAACAAGCATCAAGGCTAACTTACAAACTCCTCACACACACTGCTTTGGGTTTTTTATGTTTTCCAAAGATTAGGTGATCTTACCGAGGTTTACAAAATTGTCCAGAAGATTGACAGAACAAAGGTCTTTCACCTCTTTGTGCTGCTTCCTGAATACAACAGTATAACAGAATACAAGTTTAAGATTTAAAAAAGACAGACTAGACTTCAGTTAATCTTGTTTCAACAGAGTGATTGGTTTAAAGAACAAGATGTTTGCCAGCAGTAGAGGCCAGCACTTTACACAAGTTTAAGAGGAGAATCAATGAATTCCTGGAAAATAAAGGGTGGGTGTGCAAGTACAGACTTGAATAACCAATAGATCCTCTTATTATCTATAAGTTATGCTAAGCTAACTAGTTGGATATACTTTGTTTTATTAAGCAGTGTAGCTCAAGAAAATAATGCTAATAACAGTAACAATATGTAAATGTATTTGTGGGCATACAATAAGTACATCAGAAAACTTGCTTTGATTGTTTTTCATCACTAAGTTACTATATGTACATGTAGATGAGTGTATATGAAAACTTCTAACAGTTCCTGAGGTTCATGTTTTAAGTTACCTTGACCTTCTAATAATGCCTCCTACTTATCCATATTTAAGTGTCTTTACTGAATTTGTTTTTAAACTCAAACATATGGAACAAATAAAATCCTAACATGCAAGTTACTTGGATATGCAATCATATTACAACACACAGAAAATGCAAGATAAATGCAATATTTTATTCAAGGTTTATACCAAAGTTTCAGTATTTACCCACAAAAATAATCATCCTCTGAAAGTCTCAAAGTGTAATAAAATGTGCAAACATATATTTTTGAAGAAGATAAATATTTCTCTAATCATAATAAGTTATGTAGGTACAGACACACACACATTGAAGATGACTCCTACCTAGCTAAAATTTGTTCTTCTCTTACAAGAGATGAAAAATCGATATTATCAATTATTTTAATAATCTTGTGCGCCTCAATCAGGTCTCCTCTAACTTTTCTTTTTAGCTATAGTGGCTCACAGAATGGCTCCAATTTTTTTCAAGTACAAACTTTTACCTAATAGCTCCATCTCTTGACCAATTTGAGATCTAATTACAGCTGTGACTATTGAGGATTCCCTATTGTTTCAAGAAAAAACAATCTCAAATATGTTAAACTTTTTATCTCAGGTATCATTCTAGTTAGTCCTTTGAACTCTTTCCAATAATTCAATATCTTTCTTAAGGTAAGGATACCAAGGTCTGAACATAATACTCGAAATTGGGCCTAACAAGTCATCTATACAATGAAATGATAACCTCTTTAGAATTATTTTAAATACTTCTGTAAACACGACCAAAACTCCTATTTGCCTACCACTGGCAGTAGCATACTGCTTGTATGGTTTAGACACACAAGACTAATCAATCAAACATCACGATTCTTTTCTTATATAACACTGTTAAGAGTATTCCCATTAAAACTATAATTTAAATTATTATATCCCACATAACCTTGCACTTATTGTAATTAAAACCCATCTGCCAGTTATTCACCCAACTCACCAATCATTTAAATCCTTTTGTAAATCAGCAGCATCTTTCTCACAGCCAGAAGCACCCAAACCTCAAAGTCAGCAGAAATTTAAGCAATTTATTTACCACTCCTTCATCTATGTCTTTGTTGCTAATTTAGTATATAAAAGAAATCCTTACATAATAAACCTCTACTTTATTCTCTCCAGTTATTTTTCAATCCAATAAGCCAACTTAGCCCCCATACCCACAGTTTCTTTAAAAAGCCTTTTATGTGATACCTTGTTATATATTTTCTGAAAATCCAGATATACCAGATACACACCTTTACCCTCTTCTACATAAGCAGTAACCTCTTCAAAGATTGTCAAAAATTATGTATAGCAAGATTTTTCCCAGTGAAACCATGTTGAATATACAACAAAATTTTAAATTTTGTTATATGAATTTGTAAAGCATTATTTATCAAACTCTTAAAAACATTTCCCTGGATAATTTTTATAACCTCCCTTAAAAAGACCGGTACTTTAGCCAACATCAGTCCTTTGGCACCTGCCCACAATTCAAGGATTTTCAAAAAAATTAGCAAGTGATTCATATATCCAATCCTTTAACCTCCTATAAAACCTTCGGAGAAAATATTTTCTGATTCTTTAAATTTCCCACTTTGTTCTTAACAAGCATAGAATTAATAGAACTATACAATAACAGGAAACTTACTTCTGAAACTTTCAAGTCTCAATCAATGTTACCAAGACTTGATTGGCATTAAGACACCCGAGTTTTTTTATTGCAACTAATTTTAGTCTAGGTCTAGGTATAAGACAAGTAATAATAACAATTATGTATATAATACATACATCATGCATGCAGAAAGAGATTTGGCCAAGTTGAAAAATGACATGTAGAAACTGCTAATTACTGTGTGAAATAACTAATAAAAAAACAAAAACCATCAATTCTTCACATTAGGAAACATCCACCTCAAAATCTCAGCCAACAAAATAAAAGATTAAGAGGAAGATTTGAAAAAACATTCCCAATGAGAAAACTTAACCTCAAAATCCCTATTAAGTATCCTTGGTAAGGATAAAGACAATTACATGTAGCTGATTGTGAATAATCCCTAGAATATTATGATGCACAAGAGAAATCACAGGAATTGACTGATTTTTTTGTGCTATATTCTGAAAATCATTATTAGTTAAAAGGACAAAAGTTTAAGATTTGGAAAAGACAGGCTAGCACAAAAATTTTATTTTTATAATAGGGTGATTGACTTATAGAATGTGTTGTTTCTTTATTAAGATTTAAAGTATTCAGTAACAGATATATGCAAATTGTACCTCAAAGAATATAACTTTCTTTCATATCCTATTGTCACTAACCCCTCCTGGGCCTGGAGGATATCATTGATATCCCTTTATTTCTTCTCCTCTCAGTGGAAATACTTAACCAAACTGCATACATATTATAGTACTATAGATACAGTACTATTATATCTAAGTAGTATCTAGTTTCATCTTTGAACAATCCTATAATTTGATTTAGTTTTTCTATTGTTGTAAGCTATATTTTCAATGTTATAATTTATTTGCTGGAAGAAGCTGCTAATTACAATGATGTAATAATCAATAAGCTTCATCTAATATCTAGAGACAAGGGGAGAATATAAATCTATATATGAGAATTGAATGACTGAGTAGTTCTCGATCCAAGTAAGATTGCTTGAATTGTTGGGGGAATAACTGAGAGTTAGCATTTCTGTCAGCTAATCAGTAAATTAGTCAGGCTTGTTATAAATCAGGGAAGTTTCTGTTAAAAGTTATTAATGTATTAAACCTACAATAGTTTCAGATTTTATGTTGAAAAGTTTATTTATAAAACTAGGTCAACAAGTAAACATCATGTGCACTGTATCTCACATTATCTTTACCAAATAATCAAAAAGAATCTACCCTACTACAGAATGCATTACAATACTGATGTCTAAAGTGGAATTATTTTTGTGAAAATAAAACTGAAGTTTGACAAAACTTCAAGATCACAACTTGAACGAAACATGAAACTGAAACTATTACAAACAATGAAACTAAAACAAGATCAAGAAGAAATTTATTGAAATTTAAATGACCAAGAAGCTAGAAATGGAAATTTATGAGATAAATTACAAGAAGGAGATTTAATACTTAAAGAAGAATTAAAAACAAAGATGAATATGGTTGAACACAAGATTGACAAAGCTTCTTGATCATTACACCATCATCATGAATAGCAGCTCTCTCTAGCAAACAACCAAATGATAATGCTGAAAATATAGCTTACAACAATGGTATAAAATTATAGAACTTTTTTTGTAGTACACTATTTTGAGAAAAACATTTAAAATACTTCTTTTCAGAACTTCAAGTTATGTTAACCATGACGTTTCATTTTATCTACACAATTAATTTCATCTTGATTGATATTCATTAACATAATTATTTGGACACTTATATTTTACCAATTGTAGTAGTCACCAATATTATGAATTGTAAAAAATGTCACAGAAGCTGACAAAGATACATAAAAGAAGTGTTATCAGACTAATAGGTACACTTGAATCAAAACAAGAAAAAATTAACACAAGATGCTTGACCAAATTCTCCAGAATATTAAATTTTGTGAACAAATTTACAGTAGAAAACTTCCAAAATACAAAACTATGAAACAAATGCACAACAATAAAGACAACAGAACAAATAAAAACAATACTATTTGACAGAATAATCAGAGCCAGAAAAAAAAAAAAAAAGACCAACCTCTTCTGTTTCCATATGCTAATACCCTACTGAAAATTTAGATAGAAGTTTCTGATCAGCGGAATGTCTTTGGATAAAGTTTATTAACAATTGATGTCACAAAATGACACTTAAACAATAAAGATTGGGAATACCACAACAAAGAATATTCAAAAAATCAGCTACAAGTGTGTCTACAGGTATAACATAGTACTGTCTAAATTTTACATAAATGACTTTAACATGTTACTAACAGTTTAATCCTATCCAGACTGCAGAGGACCATTCAGGCACCGATTACACACCTGCAAGTTCAATTTAAAAGTTCAAGCAAAAATAATGATTCTAATTCAATCTCAATAATTTTAATTCATAAATGATTTAGAATTCATAGTTTGTAATTTTCTATTACTTATTTAGTGTAATTCACAAATTAAGGTGAAAAAATGTTCAAACTCTTGTTTCCATACTGCTCCAAGGAGACTTGTTTAAAAACAACACATTTATTGATTTTTTTATTAAAAGTTTTACTGCCAATCCCAAAGCATAGATTTATATTGCTAAAAACTATCATTTAATGAGAACATAATTATCAGTGCCTTGTTTCTCATGTGATTTTCCTTCTCTTTTAGTTGTTTTATTATTTACTACAGCCCTTCATTTCCACCTTTTTATGACATCACAGTATGTGGTCTGAAGCACAGCTTTGAAAATAGATACAGGGCAACATTTCAATACCACTGGAGAAAACACATCTTAATCTAGTTAGGTCACTGTACAGTAAGTGATTTAAGCAGTAATTAATGATTTCTCAAAAAAAGTGACAAATAAAGAGTTTATACAGGGATGAATGAAATAATACAATAGAAACTTTAAAAAATTCAGAAGGGACTGTGAAATTCTTTTATAGTTTCTATTGTCATTAACTTCATTTTTGAAACTATAAAATGTGTTGTTTCTTTATTAAGATTTAAAGTATCCAGTAACACATATATGCAAATTGTACCTCAAAGAATATAACTTTCTTTCATATCCTATTGTCACTAACCCCTCCTGGGCCTGGAGGATATCATATCTGAAACTAGGTACTATTTAGCAAGTCTGTACCAGGTTTAATGTAATTTGTTAAGTATTTCCACTGTGAGAAGAACAAGAAAAGAGGAGGTTATCAGTGATATCCATCCAGTCCCGAAATAGTTAAGAGTACAGCTTTGTTGGAAAAAATATAACCTTGCTGTCCATATGAAAAGTCATTTTAGCTATGAGGAAAGACACTAAGTTTTCTCTGAAGTGCAGAAGAATTGGAGGAAGGCTTATTTCAGTTGATCAAATAAGGGATTGGACAGACTTCCCACAAGTTGTGTGGTGGAATGAAAAGGTTGAAAATACACACTTGAATATTTGGGATAAATATTTACGTTTGAGAAGCCTAGATGCAGACTTGTTCTTATACAAACAAAAATTTATTACATACAATAAACTTATAAAATAGTTGGATTGATGGAATTTGTTATTAATTTGAATATTTTAGAGTTTTGGTTAACAGACACATATAGAATGTTATATAATATTGATATACACAATAAAGTCCATCGTTCAAATGTATCACCATAGTTTGACAACTAATAGTAAAATATATTTGAAAAATTCTAGTTAGATGATTTACTTTTGTATTGAAATGTTGATCAATTTAAAATGCAAACACTTTACAGTACAAAACTTCTCTTTCTTAAACCAAAGCTGTTTTATATTAATAATTCAAACATTTTTTTGCAAAAATAAATACATTATTGTTTAATCTTGATGATTTGGAACTACCTACCTTTCAGCTTCTTCTCCATCACCTATACTTTTATTCCCAAGAGTTAGAGTATCAGGAAGAACTTCCAAGAGAGGTGGCACCATTGAGGTGACTGATGTCATGACATTTGGCATACTAACATCACTGCTAACAGTTGCTAAAGTAACTTGACTAGGACCCTGATAATTCTGATCTTGACTGCTGGCTGTCTGAGATGCCTGAGAATGTGTGACATCTGGAATGTTTCCTATGGATTGTGTGTGAGGCCCTGAAGATGGCTGAGTAGGAGGAGTTGGATGCTGTTGCTGAGAAACTACAGACTGTGGCAATGTTTGTGAAACCTGAACTATTGGTTGAGAAAGAGGTTGGGAGACTGCAGGAACCATCTGGCCAGGCTGCACTGGATGCTGAGGTTGCTGCTGGCTTGTTTGATTTTGCATTGTCTTTACTACTATTTGACCTTGCTGTGACAAAATATTTTGTTGCTGAGAGTCAGTTACAATTTGATGACCAGACTGGATTCCAAAATTCTGAACAACAGCCATATGGGGTACCTGTGGGGCACTATACACTTGGTTGTTCATTGGAAGATATATGATAGACTGAGAATTCTGTGGTGTATCAACTGCAACTGATATGCTACCTGCTACAGAATAAGGTTGACTCACAGGTATTTCATAAAAATGTGCTACAGTATCCAATGGCTGATTTTCACTAAACAATGAAGTGGCTGAACTTCCAGCACTTGAAGCTCCAGAAGTGCTGCTCTGTTCAGTAGAAACTTCTTGCTTAGGAACATCTCTCTGTACAGCAGGTGGATTTGTAAAATCCATACACACCCAACGTCCTCGTTTAAATGGTTCACTGCTAACAAGCTTAACAACTTTAAAACGATTCTGCCACTGGTCTGGTAAAGAAGTCATGGGTACTTGGCTACTGACTGTAGATTTACTTGTAGTACAACTTGACATAAGGGACAAGGTTACATGTTGACCCCCTGAAGCAATCATATTTCCTGCAAAATCTGTGGAGAGAGAAACACCTAAAGGAATATCTACACCTACTTTGGAATCACTTGTTGTTACACTTGTACTAACATTACTAATGGTCTCAACAATATTCTCAACTTTTGCTGGAATGGATGGACTGGAAGTTGTTTCAGTAATTGGCCCAGCTGGAGAAACTTTAGCTTTCTCATTTATGTTGTTGTTGCTGTTACTACTAGTTATTGTGCTAGCTTCAGAAAGCTGGTCATTGTCTAATTCTGAAGGTACACTATGTCTGTCCGAAGGCATATCTTCAGTGTGACTTTCATCAAGATCATCTGCACTATCCTCTCCAGCATCATTACTTAGCTGGGTTGATCCTTGTACAGTTACACTTGTAATTTGGAAAGATGTTGGTTTCTTTTTCTGAGTATATTCTCCCGATGGAACTACAAGCGGACTTCTTTCTTTGTGATTAACTTCACCATATATGGTATTTGAACTCGACCCAACAGGACGATTTTTTGGTTCTTCATTTCTTACTCCATCGCCACGAAACTTTTCAGCCATGACTTGGAACTAGGCCCGAGATTTGCCTTGGCCGAAAAGTCGACTAACTCGTCAACTGCAGCCTCAACAAAATGATTTAGTATTTCTAATACCAAAAGTTTAATTTTACTCACAAAAATGAATCAGGATCGTAAATAGTTCCATCTTTAGCTATATGAGTAAACTTATACTGATACAAACTAGAAATGGATTATAAGAACTCTCAAAATTTAAACTCCTCGTACGTGTTCATTCGCAAAATGGCGACATGTGTGTAAAAGAGGAACGACGGGATACACAAACAAGTAGCGCCACTGGTACAAAATAATTATTTAATGCAGCAACACTGAAATAAACAAATAAATTCTAACTACAATAGTTATAAAAGGTCGAAATTAACCTAGTATGGAAAATAAAAATAAGCACCTTGAAAAAGTACCTATTCTCATAATTTGCAACAAACTAATATTACTCTTAACTGCATGTCTTACTTTTTTGGATGAAACAGACGTAGAATTAAAGGACAAAAACAAACTTATTCGACTAACTCCGGACAAAACTCTATTCAAATTCTTAGTGAGTAACTAAAATACGAATTCTGGCCCAATGGAAAGTAAGGGATGATCGATAATTTAGTTTGTTTGTTTGTTATTAAGCGCAAATCTATACAATGGGCTATCTGTGCTGTGACCACTGCGGGTATCGAACCTCAATTTTTAAAGTTATAAGCCACCGGGATCCAATAAGATAGTACAGAGTGCCTCACTTAGTACTAAATTATGAAAATTAATGATTTGTATAGTAAAAAATAATTATTTAAGAATTAGCTTAGACTTAATAATACTCCAAGATTAATAACTAATGAAAAAAAGACCTACATTTGGTATTTTTGATCGAAAATTAGGACAAATTTTTTAAACTTGTATTATATAACGTATATTTTTAATATCTAAATACAAAAATAATAGAATTTATTGTGTTTATAAGCTTGAGGTTTCTTGCGCTTTGGTCCTTTTTTGCATAAACATAATTTAATTATAATAGATAAAGATCTGTCTACTTGCCATCTTGGCATTTTAAAAATAAATTAAACTTTTTGCTAAAATATTAAATCATTTTGTAGATGTTGCGATTGACGAGTTAATAGTTAACTTGTTAACTTGTTTTCCAGCCATGGATAAATTCTTATGTTTATATAACTTTGGTGTAAGTAGTTTATATTTAACGCTGAGAAAAAGAAGTTAAAAATAGAGGAACTAGAATATATATATATATCATTTACAGAAAAGTATGATTCTAACTTGACTGGTTTAAATTGATCATAATAATTTTTTTTCTTTACTGTTTCATAAACTGATTATTTGTAGGTAAATAAGTAAGCTAGAGTTTGTAACTTTATATTTGCATGAAGCACAATTTAACATAAAATTTAACCCAATTAAAAAGACTCCACTTCGAAGTTTCGGGATTAGATAAGAATAGTCCGGGAATAGGAGGTGGATGATGTTGACAAATCTATGATAGTCTATGAGTTCAGAATTAGGTACGGTTTTGCACAGATAGCCCTTGTGTATTTCTTGCAGGAATTCTGAAACAAACAAACAAATCAAAACTTCAATAACCAACGAAATTAAAACATGTTTCATATCTTCATACATCCAATCTAACTGGAAAAGCGAAAGGAATAAAATTAAATCCCCGAAAGCTATAGCGTAGCAATTTATTATGCAGCTTAGATTTAATCCTCTAACATCTTCTAGCCAGATACTATTTTCGTTTACATGAAAGTGCCAAAAATGTCGTCAAGAATGTTATTATCCAGTGATTTATCCCTCAAATTAGTGACTTGTCTATGCATTGTAATACACTGAGTGGTCACACGTAAATAGACACATAATTTTTCGTCATTTAACTGATTTATGCTAAC